CTATCTATCTATCTATCTATCTATCTATCTATCTATCTATCTATCTATCTATCTATCTATCTATCTATTGATCCTTGTTCCATCTTCTGCCAACCTAGCAGTTCGAAGGCTTGTAAAAATGCAAGTAGAAAAATAGGGACCACCTTTGGTGGGAAGGGAACAGCGTTCTGTGTGCCTACAGCATTGAGTCATGCCGGCCATGACCACGGAGACCTATATATATATATATATATATATCTTCCCCCCCCCTCTCCCTAGAACAGCAGGATCTGGATCTGGACATTGAGTTTGATGTGCACCTTGGAATCGCTCACACACGCTGGGCCACCCATGGCGAGCCTAGTCCGGTCAACAGCCACCCGCAGAGATCAGACAAAAACAACGGTAGGCCGGAATTGGGATCAGAAAGTGGTGTGTGTGTGTGTGTGTGTGTGAGGGGGTTGCTGTTGCAAAGGGTATGATTGGCTCTTCAGGACCTGCAGGAATTTTCAGCCCAGCTGCTTTGGGATTTTTCACTCTTCTGCCTCAAACAAGAAGCAAAGTTTCGGTCTCCGGTTTCTGATCAGAGCCTTGAATGTGAATGTTTCATTTTTCTTTCAGAATTTATTGTCATCCACAATGGAATAATCACAAATTACAAAGACCTGAAAAAGTTCTTGGTAAGTTCAGCTCCTTGGATTGTATTTTATTGGGGGGGGGGGGTGTTGCTTCAAAAATAGGACCTGCTTGGCCTGGTCAGACAGGAATAGCTGTCGGCTCCTTAATGACTTGTCCCAGGTGACGGCAAGGTTCTTCAGATGTTGGACAGGGTGTCCTTTTGCATCCTTGGGGCCTGGCACAAAATGAAAAAGTCTGTTTTGTTCTGTCCAGGGAACAATCCACATTGTGGCCCAGGATTTTGGGTGCATTGTGGTCCAACTGAACTGAAACCAAGAGCAACTTGTTTATTCTTGGTTTCAACTGAGACCAGCTTATTTATTGACTTCCACGATCCTTGGTTCAAAATTACTCTGCTATTGTCATTACAATACATAACGTTACGTATATTAACCGCAAGTAGAATTGTTTTAGCATAGAATTGGAAACAAACAGATACTCCCACAGACCCAATTATAAGAAGGAAAATCTATGAATGTGCGGAAATGGATAGCACTGTCAAATTTGGAATAGATGGTGTTCCTGGCTTGAGAGTAAACGTAAAACTTAGGGTATAAGCTGTAAAAGTATAATATATAGAATGCAAAATTTATAAGAAATCTATGATATTGATCTGTCAGTAGATGTCATTATAATTCAAATATGGATATAACAGGATAGTGATATAGAGATAGAATTTTTGTAAACAGGATTGTTACGTAAGATATGGATACCAATATGGAAAAGCTGTTACAAGTGTAAATTTTTGTTTTGTGTTTTAAATGTTGGAAAATTCAATAAATACTATTTTTTTTAAATGACTGCTTATATGAAGCAACTAAAACATTAAAGCACAGGTAGTCCTCGACTTAACGGCCACAACTGGCCACAAAATTCTGTAATACAGTCAGGCAGTTGTCCAATGAATCACTGCAGTTGCGTAAGTTAGCAACCCCATTGTTAAGAGAATCCAGCCTCCCCATTCACTTGGCTTGTCAGAAGGTCACAAAAGGGGATCACAGAACACTGTGATTGTCATAAATGTGAGTCAGTTGCCGAGGGTCTGAATTTTAATCACGTGACCAAGTGTGAAAATGGTCATAAGTTACTTTTTTCAGGGGCATTTGTAAGTTTCAACAGTCACTAAACGAACCATTGTTAAGTGGAGGGCTACCTGTGTAAAGCAGAGGTGGGGAGGTGTGCCCCCGTTGTGGCTTGTGGACTTCCAACTCCCAGAATTCCAGGTGGGAGTTGGAAGTCCACAAGGCATAGAAGGACCATCATTCCCCCCCCCGCCCCCCGCTGTGGATGGAGGGGATGGATCTGGGGAAGGTCTCAGGAAATGAGCAGGTGGGCCATCCTTTTCATATCCCCTTGACCATTATCCTTTGCCCCACAGTGGACTTTCCGTTCCTCCTCTGGGTTTCCTCCCTGTCAGGGTTCCAAATAGCACCCAAGATTAAATCCAAGGCAAAGTATTGGTCAAAGTTCCAATATATGAAGAGAGTCATGTTGGCACATCTTGGCCTGACACTCCTGCCTTCCCCCAAGTGATGGAAGGGCTTCTTCCTTTCTTTTGCTCCTCTTTAGCTACCTGCTGCTGTTGCTTTCATGACCAACCCTCCATCTCCTCTCCCACCTGCTCTCCCCTGTTTTTCCCTGCACTTCCCCTCCCCCCCGAACATCTTTGCCTGGGACAGGTGCAATCTAGAAACAAAGTTCTATTCCAGGTAGAGACCCCCAGGATGGTCTGCTCCAAACGCAGAATATTTTGCATTATCTGGCTATGCAATGGGCTCTACATGGGGTTGCCCCTGAAGTGCATCCGGCGACTACAGCTAGCCCAAAATGCAGCCGCGCGAGTGATAGTGGGCGCACCGCGGTTCGCCCACGTTACACCT